ATTCAACAAATTTATTTGTTTCTTATTATAAATTTATAATAATTAATAATTATAAATTTATATAATTATTGTTTATCATTCATATGATTTCTCAATTGATTTTAGGATATATATTTTATGATAAATTTTCAATTTTAATAATAAAAAATTATAAATTTATATATGTTTTCTATCATATATTTCTAATAAAATTTTGAATTTTATTTAAAATATTAAAATATTTCATATATACTTTATATTTATTTATTTCACATAAATTATAATAATGCATAATTTCATTCAAAATCAAATTAAAAATAATAAAATTCCTTCTTCTTTCAAATAATTAAATGATTAATTGTATTCTACATATATTCTACAAAATAACTAAAAATGATAATTATTTAAATAATATTAATACAGCATTCAATATCTAAAAATTACTTTAGACAATAATTAATATGATATAGTATTTTAAGATATTATGCAAACCTTTTTCTTACATTATTACCATTCGAGTAAAATATTTCCTTTTTTATCTATCTCTTCCAATTTTTTTCTTGTTACTTCAATTAAATGAAATAACTATATGAGGTATTCGTAATTGAATAAAGTAACGATATAAGTAAGAAAGAAGTTTTCTTTTAGAATAACCGAAAGATACTATTCATGCTCTCAACACTTGGAATAGAAGAGGAAAAAATAATGAAAAGACTAAATAAAAAAAACGACAATAAAGATTAATAATTATTACAAACAAAAAACTTGAAAACTATAATTTTCTCGAAAATAATATCTATTATGAAAAATCTCCTTGCAGAAAGTATGTATAAAATCGATCGATTGTAATTTACTGCAATTGCTGTATATTATACTATTACTATTATAAAAAAATAACACTTGTATGAAAATGCAAGAGAAAAAAATACTTATGAATAATATATTAAACCGAGGTATAGTCAAATGATTCTTTGAGTTCTTTATGACAGTCGATATCTGACTAGAAATATGGACGTATTCGATAAACACTATCATAGCTATCGTACTGTGTTGAAAATCATAGGATTATGGCCGTATAATAATTCAATTTATGTGTGGATTCAAAGATTATTGTTAATGATATTTTTTCTTGGCAATGTAATACTTCAGGTGACGAAAATTATAATTTTTCTTTATATAATTCATTGTATTTTTACTGAAATAATTTATAGGATATTGTGTTATATCTATTTATTACAGCATATTAATATTCTATTCCATAAATTAATAATATAATTATTTTTGAAATAATAATGTATTATGATTTTAAGTTTGTGAATGATATACATATATTATATATGTATATATACATATATATTAGCGTGATATGAATGCATGAAAATATATTTGTATAATATTCAAAAGTTATTACATTTTGAAGTATACAATATCCAGTTAATATATATATTCGACATAATTTTATTTCATTTAAAAATTATTTTTCGAAAGAAGTGAATTTTAAAAGTCGTCGTAGAATTGTTTTTTATCAATATACGTATATATATTTATCATTTAAAAAAAGGACTTAAAATTTAATTCTACATTTTTTATATATTTTCATATATAGAAGATTCTTCTTTTATAATTTTTTTTGTATCTAATTGAAGGTTGAGCAATTAGTTTTCAAAAAACGAAACGAAAAAATTTTATTTTAATTTTTATTTTTTATTCTCTTATATATGCTATTTAGCTAGATTTTGTATACATGTATAAAAAAAACATACTAAAACCAATATCTACATTTTTATCTTTATATCTACATTTTGCTTCTATTTTTGTCTATATTTTTGTTTTATAATAAACTGTATATTATACATATTTTAGAACGTCGATTAAATGATAATAATGATAATATATTTAAAAACGCGATTGAAATACTATAAATATATAATCATCATAAAATCTAATATTTTAAGCGTATTATAATTAAAAAATTTTTAGATTATATCACTTCTAAGATCTGAAATTACATTACGAAACTGTATTTTAACATTGTCTACAACTTGTCCACTTATAATTATTTTACTACGATATATAAGCTTTATAGTATTTTTTCCTATGGTGAGTAAAAATTAAAATTATTTTAAACTTTTTAATATAGAAAAATATTTTTATATGTCATTTTTTTTTTTTTGGCATAGATAAAATATTTATTTCATCATATGCATATGGAGGAAAGTATAATACAAGATTCAATAGAAACTTGGATACGAACGAAATACATCGATGATTCTTGTCATAGGATCGATTTACTTTTCCGTAAGAAATATGTAAATTTATAATATATAATTAATATATATTTTTTTATAACATTTGTCATCGCAAAAACTTAAATATTTCAAAATAATTGTATATTATTAAATTTATTAATTTTTGTATAAATTTTTTATTATATATATAATCTTTGAACTATATATATAATATTAAGAATTATAATATTTGTAATTTTTACTTGTTATCTTTACCTGTTACTTTTAACAAAAGTATCAGAATATTTTTTATTTTTACAACAAAAATGTTTTTTTAATGATAATATTATATTAATATTCTAGTTTAAACATAATTCATTGTTTTTCCAATTTTTAGGTGTGATTTTTTTAACTGTTACATTATTTAGTATATTTTTATTGTATCTTTTAATAATGCATTTCATAATGCCTTTAAATGAATCTCACATACATATCCTTCGTTACGCTACATTATTTTCTATCAATCGAACTATATATTTTTATATTTTATATTTGGATTTTTTATTTGTTGTTACATTTGGATTATTATCTATAATATGTACGGAATCAATAATCGGAGTTTATAGTTATCATATAGGCATATTGTTTAAAATTATTAGGTAAGTAATTTATCATATCCTTCTCTCATAATACTTATTATGTAACAAATATTAACAATTACTGTATTTATAACATTTTTTACAATATGAATTAACATTCATTTGATTACAATTGATTTCAAGATTGTATAATCTTTGTAAATTATTTAAAATATTATATTTTTCTTATTCTTTATATAGAGTATTAATATATACATATATGTCTAATATACATTAAGTAATATACATTAAATGTTAATATACAAACAAATATGTTCAAGAGGTTGATTCGATATGTCTTGATTTATAATTGTGAGATAATTTCGAGCAACTTTTTGGTATAATTTTCATTTCGGTTTTATTATTTGTTAGATATTAACGAAATGACTCTCTGTCATTATTACGGTTTTTTAATAATAATTTATTACCAAAATTAAAATTTTCAGATAAAAAAAATTGCTTGAAATCTTTCAAATATTATCATTTTAAGCCTTGTCATTATTAAAATTTTAACGATCGATTTTAGGAATTTTGAAATTTTAAATATGTACATGTACATAAATACATACACATTACATAAATACTAACAAATCTACATAATACATTTTTTAAATTTTTATTAAACGTCTAATATATAATAAAAAATAATTTTTTTAAATATTTTTCATTACGTTCTTTGCGAATAAATTGTCGTTTCTATAAAAAATTTTTTATATATTATGCTAAATTTTTCTAAAAAAAAAGAAAAAGCAACTTAAATTATTAAATACAATTTTTAAAAAAGTTTTAAAATTATAATGTTTTAAAAAATGTACCATACTTTTTTTATTTACTACACAAATATATATAAAACAATTTTAAACAATAAAATTATAAAGTTTTTTATTAAGCAATGTTTATTTACAAATATCATGTTTTTAGCCATCGAATACGAAAGATTATTATGTATTTAGTTATATTTAATCTCTCACCGAAGCAAATTGATTCGAAACTCGTAGAGCTTTATCGCGTAGTGGATATTCATAATCAAGCTATCGAGTTGGTAAAATATAATATGATATTAATATAAATTAATTTTGTATATATTTATGTTTATATATTATAATATTTCGTTCGCGAATTTCATGTGGTAATGGAAGACTTATCAATGTTATAATAAATAATTCAGGACAACAGTTTATGATATCTGCTCTTCTAGTTGTAATTTCAATGGCTATAAATCTGCATCGAGTAAGTATCTTTTCTTTATTACATGATAATAATAAATGAATTCGCACATTCGCGTCAGAATTTTCACTTATACCGGTTTTATTTCAATTTGTTCACACAATCTTTTGAATTACGAAACTTGTATTTGAAAATAGATATTTTTGATTATTCTTCGATTTGTCTAAGTGATAATTTTTTCTAGTTCTCAAACTTTTTATTTTGTATTTTTTTTTAAATCAAATTATAATTTTATTATAAATTATATTTTTATTTAAGAATCCTAGTCTATTCCAAATTTATTTTCCTAATTATGATTTTTGTGAAATCATTCAAGATTATTCGTTATTATTCGACATTCATTATTATTAATTAGTAGAAATTAATTCTTTTTTTATTTTTATTATATATTTTATATATTTTATATATTTTTATTATATATTTTAAAAAATATCCTTGCACATCGATGCAATAATTTATTATGTTCCTAAATGATATTCCATTCTTTCAAAAGTATCACAACTAATTTGGAAGATATCTCTTATGCGATTTTTCATATAATAGCTGATTCTTTTCTAAAAACTTTTTCATTTATGCAACTCTGAAAAAAATTCAAATTGAAATTCAAATTTTATAAACTAATAACTTTAATAAAGTATTTATGACAATGACTGTACTACTCTTCATATAAATAATTTATTTCCATCAAAAATTTTCTGACTATAATCAAAGCAAAATTTAAATAATTATATGTGATTTTAAATGAATTTCAATGACTAACATAATTTTTTGACTAGCATTCATATAATAATGGAATAAGTTAAAATTCTCGATAAATATATGTAAGTTCATTTAAAAAAACAAAAATTATCATTAGAAAACTTTTTGAAATACAAATTTTATATGCAACATTTTTTTTTAATAATTCAGAAGATAATTGTGCAAATACAGATTAAAATGAGACACCCTGTATATGCAAAGGTAATCTTATATAAGATTTTATAAAATTTTTTGAATTTATGAAACATACTAAATGAGACCCTTTAAATTTGTATATATTGAATAAATAGTAATAATAAATAAATGTAATCAATTTAAAAATGATATATCGTATTGAATATACTTTTTTTTTTAATGTTTTACAGGTAGTAAATGCGATTACAATTAAGAAGGATCAATTAGAAATTTTAATCTCTCTTATAATTTTTGCCAATCATTTGGTGATTATGTTTTTATGTAACCACAGTGGCCAGATACTTATAAACTACAGTGAAGAATTTTTTCATGAATTGTAAGTTCGAATTTTTATTCATTAAATTAATTACAATAACAGTAAAAAAAAAATCTTTATTCATTGGACAGATATATTTCAGTATGGTATTTTGTACCGTTAAAGGTACAAAAGATTTTATTATTTATTATGATACGAAGCTCAACGGCATGTATATTTCACATCTTTAGTGTATTCATTCTATGCTATGCAGGATTTACAACGGTAATTTATTTAAATAAAGACATCATCATTTTAATTCAAACTAATAAAAATTGTTTCATTTCAGATGTTGAGCACTTCGTTTTCATATTTTACTTTGATATACTCGATACAACAGAATTGATAATATCATATTAAATTTTATATATAATATCGTATTAATATTTAAATAAACAATTATTATTATTCTGTATTTTATTTTGATATTTGTTGGTCTTTATTTTGTTGGTTCTTCTTATTAATATTTTCTCAATTAAATATTCTATATATAGTTTCTTGAATTGTTAATATTTTAATATTATTTGTAATTGATCATTTTGTTATCATTATACTTAATTTAAAATAATTATTATTTCGTATATTTATTTCTTAATTTTAGAAGAAAATAACCATTTTATTTTTTATATGATGCTTGAATATTTATATCATTTATATTAAATCATATAGCATTTATATTAAATTTTAATTTAATTAATTTATATTAAATTAATTGCATCAATTTTCTTTTATAATATTTAATTAATTCGAATCAATAATATAATAGAAGTCTTTATATTCAAAGACAAGTATAGATAAATATGATAACAAAGAGAAGGAAATATTATGTAATATTATAATATTATATAAGAAATTATTATGAGGAATAAAATAATAATATCCAACTTTTTGAATTC